TATGTTGTACATAATAACTGAAAACATACAAATTCATATAAGTTTAGAATCGGTTTTTAAATCACTATCGTGACGTCAGACCGTGGACTGGCGCTTAAGCTGTTTCGAAATGAGCTGGTTAAAATGATTGAATTTAAATTATAGAAAAACAATATACGTATACGTGTATGATGTAGATTCTATTTAAGTCATAAAAAATATAAGTGAAAAAAGTTGCTATAGTCAATTCGTTTGCATGCCTATGTTGTATTACATTGTATGTATGACTATGTATTACATTGATTGAAACTTTCACGATTTTCATTTTAAAATCAAATAATGTATTACGTATTATACATTAGACATTATTATAAAGTTTTGACTGATATCTCAGTAAACGAAATTTGATAAAAGAACTGTTTTGCTGCATCGATTAATGCCATGCTGTTTTGAACACTTGACATTGTTACAATACCGCAAAACTCATGAATTTTTATTTTTTATTTTATTGAGGGATAGACAGTTATACATATGCAAAAAATCATATTAGTAACGAGTTAGAAATTATTTGAATTATTTTTCAGGTCTTTGACTATCCACCAGAGGGCGTTAGAAAATGCATAGTCTCCACAAATATAGCAGAAACTTCAGTCACCATTGACGGTATAAGATTCGTCGTTGATTCGGGAAAGGTATGACCATACTATTGGAGGTTACACGATTAATTGAGTCTATTGTTTTTCACATAAAAAATTCAATAAAACTTGGCAAATAGATGTAATTCCACGAATTTTTGTGGTCGGTTTTTTTTATTTCGCTCTTAGGTTCATGGACATAAAGCTTTTTCTGATCGGCATAATGCGATTCTGCGTTAATAAGTGTGGTGACCCTTAGAAGATACGGGATTCTACACATTGAAAGTAAATCACTGTCTGGCTCTACGAATTATGCAGCTGTGTATAGTTAACAAATATTTTTTGTTAGGATTAAGTATAGTTGTTGTAATACTGTAAAAATATATATTTTCTTTTTCAGGTAAAAGAAATGAGCTACGATTCCACAACAAAAATGCAAAGGTTGAAAGAGTTTTGGATATCAAAAGCGAGCGCTGATCAAAGAAAAGGACGTGCTGGAAGAACAGGTATTTTGTTGAGTGTTTAGGTTGTCGCAATTGTTACACATAGGAAATTAAACTACTTTTTCGGATCTAAATCAGGTATATTTCTTTTTTGAAACTAACGTTTCAAGCCCTTTACACGTCCCATGCTCAATGTGCTGATTCAGCCGTGACCATGGGACGTGTAAAGGGCCCGAAACGTTTAGTTTGAAAAAAAAACAAATATACGCCATATAGATTCGAAAAAATAGTTTCATTTCCTAGGTATTTTATTACTAAAATTTTACTGAAAAGTAAAAATAAATTTCCCAAAGAAAATATTGAGAAACACTGCCTTTTGACGAGAAGTTCGTCTACGTCCGGGACACTATGCATCGTCCCAACATTTCGCGCCCAAATTCAACCCTAACTGCAAGTCTTGAGTGCAACTTTTCATTTCACTACACATAGATGTGCTTTGCGTGTTACAGGTTTTTTTCGGTTATTGAAGTGACTTTTAGTATAGATAACGCAAAATCGAAACCCGCTTAATCCAGCGCTCAAAGCGCAAACAGTTGGGCCACTGAAGTCTCCGAAATTGTATCTACAATATGTATTTTACAGGTCCCGGTGTTTGCTATCGCATCTATTCTGACAAGGAATATTCCGAAATGGAACCCTTTAGCACTCCTGAAGTATCCCGCGTGCCTTTAGCTTCCTTGCTGCTACTCATGAGCTCGCTCGGTGTCAACGATGTAAGGCGCTTCCCCTTCATCGACACTCCGCCTGAAGACGCTATTGAGAACGCCCTATTGGAGCTCAAACAGCATGTAAGTCTTTTGTATACCGAAACTTGAAATTACAAATCAAACAACACAAGATATTCATTGTCTAGTTCACGGATATTTTGTCGCTCTGTTTTTCAAATTATCGCCAAAAGCGCAACTGGATTTAATCTTACCGGCGCAAAGTAAATAGCCTTTCTATACAAAATTATAATAATGGTATATACATATATAATATGATATACTATACTATTATTATTGTATACAGGGTTATTTGTAAAATTATAAACCTCGCAGGACTGCTACTAATATATATATA